ACTTTTTCATTTAACTTTTAATTTGAAATAATATTTTGTTCAACAAGATGTACAATGAACGTACAAACCAAATAGTATTATTACCATTACTATTACTATATTGCCATTACTATTACCATGATTATTACCATTATTATGAAATATTCTATATCAAAGTAGTTAATTAAATTTTGTAATTATCATTATACGCAATGATTGCTAGCCTTGCCAGACGATTTCAGTGAAAAATGGTACGTACCGTAGAGTGTGATGTGAGATGAAACTCGGGTGACGGAGGCGTCCCGGGACGTTCTCCCTAGTTTAGGCTCTTGCGCCCGGGTGGAGTGTATGGGGGTCGTGGAATGAATTTTTGTGAGAATGTGATTTTGCCTTTTTTAAATATAGCGTTAGGTAGGTAGGTAGTATACCTTCTGGTGTGTGTGATAGATTGTAAGTAGGTAGGGCCGGGACAGGTTGTCACAGTCTCTTGGTCGGGTAGGCGCGATTTCGCGTGATCAACCTGTACCTGGAATATATTTGAAGAATTGACGATACCATCGATACGAACGGAGTATGCCGTTCGCCTTCGATTCTATCTGTACAATTTTTCAAATTTTTGGCGACTTGATAAGTCGTCATACGCGATCACGATGGCACGAAACGCACAAGTTCTGCTCGAGCACGGCACGTGTGCACGAACAACGACTTATATAAAGTCCTTTTTCGTCCACGTGTCAATTAGAGTTTCGCGATTTTTCTTTTTTGTTGATTGTTTTTTTTTTATTTTGCGAATTTGCAAGTCTCGAGCTTTAGATATAAGTTTCAGGTGGGTGGACCGCCCGAAGAAAGAAGTGGCTATATGCCGAAGCGCCCCGACAAACTGTCTTTCAAGAGGGGAACTACTAATGATTTTGCATCCTTCTGCAAAAAAGGATGGGAAATCATTATCGTTACTACTTTGTCACTGTGCTTGCCTGTAGTTGTAGTTTTGTAATTTCAGGAGAAGAGGGGGCCCGTGACCCCCATGATTTTGGGCAAATCGCGTTTTCAATTTAGTGTTGCGAATATTGACCGCGGTTCAATTTAGTGTTGCGAATGAATATCGATCACGGTTCAATTTAATTTTGCGTATGCATGATTATCGCGATTTTCATTGAGTGTTGCGAATTTTAAATATCGCGTTTCTTTCTTGCATTGCATTAAAATAGAATTTAACTTTTCAATGTTGATTGCTTTAAGATTTTTGAGAGTTTTGCTTTTTAATGTTCATTGCTTTAGTGTTGCGAGTAAAAGATTCACGGTTTGAGAATCCCCTTTTTTTGCATTTTAATTGCATGTCTGTTAAAGATAGCGTTGCGAATGACATTAGCGCGATTGTTTTCCAGTGTTGCGACTTCTAAATACGCGATTGCTTTGCATTAGTTTATAGAGTTCCCTGCTAATTAGTGTTGCGGTAATGAATATTCGCGTTTTGCATTAGAGTTGCGATATATGATGAAATGCCCAAAAACCATCCACTGGAGTTGCCATGGTCCATAAGGCAGCTATGGACCAGCTGCCTTGATACAGCCTTGGATTGGCTGTACCCCTTTTTTAGATTAGTGTTGCGTCTTATAAAATTCGGTAGATTTGAGTAGTGTTGCGTTACAGTTCGCGTTTTCTCTTTTTTTCTTTTTTTCAGCTTAGTGTTGCGCATAATGGAGCAGCCTTCACGCGTACGCTTTTGTACATATTATATAATTAATGAAATTAGTGTTGCGAGTAAAAAATTCACGGTTTGAGAATCCCCCTTTTCTGCATTTTAATTGCATGTCTGTTAAAGATAGCGTTGCGAATGACATTAGCGCGATTGTTTCCCAGTGTTGCGACTTATAAATACGCGATTGCTTTGCATTAGTTTATAGAGTTCCCTGCTAATTAGTATTGCGGTAATGAATATTCGCGTTTTGCATTAGAAATGCCCAAAAACCATCCACTGGAGTTGCCATGGTCCATAAGGCAGCTATGGACCAGCTGCCGTGATTGGCTGTACCCCTTTTTTAGATTAGTGTTGCGTCTTACAAAATTCGGTAGATTTGAGTAGTGTTGCGTTACAGTTCGCGTTTTTTCTTTTTTTCTTTTTTTCAGCTTAGCGTTGCGCATAATGGAGCAGCCTTCACGCGTACGCTTTTGTACATATTATATAATTAATGAAATTAGTATTGCGAATGAATTCGCGATTGTTATTAAATTTTTTACTTTTTTGCATTTATTAAATTAGTGGAAGTAACTATGACTCACATTCGGTGGGAATCCATTGCTAGTCAAGGATTCCGCGGCCTAAGACCGTGAACACCATCTCTGGGAGATATACCCATGCATTACTAGGCCTTTGCAGGCGCAGCTTTAGAATACGGAACATATGAAAATATGTTACCATATTCTAAACTGCAGTCCTTTTGTCTATACTATGGGCGTCCGTCAATCTGACACCGTTGGATGCAACGTGTTGGACGGGCGGGTAGCGCTCTTAGCGAAGGGGTGCACTCTGTCCTGGCGTTACGACGTCCAGGCGGGGTGGGTGGTATGTAGCGTCTGGCGTAAGTCTAGGGGGCGTGAGACCCTTCGTTGCCAGCCGATGTTTTGTCATAGTTCAGAATGTTTGCAATTTTGAAATTAGTGTTGCGTGTGATTTCGGTTTGTTTTATAGGGTTTGCTTAGGGATTGCTCTTATGGGCAGTCAAACTTTTCTTTTCAGGTTCCCCTGTACCCTCCCTCCCACTGCCCCGCCCTCATTCTTTTTTCTTCCCTGTTTTTAATTTTGAAAATTTTGAGCATTCGGTTATAGGAAATACTGTTAAATATTATATGAATTTAATATTTTCAGAATATTATTAAATACGATAAAGTTTTAAATAGATCTTTATTCAAAGTTTTATTTAAAATGGATGTTCAATTTATTTTGTGATGATTGGTGATAAATTATTTCAAGGAATATTTGTTCATTTGAGATAGCTTATTAAATTTTAATTTTACTTTATTTAAACGAAAATAGTGGATAATTGTTGTTCGAGTTGATCAGTTTTCATTTTTAATCGCGATGTTTCGTTTCAAGCTTACGGAGAAGCTAATTAAATTACTTTTATAAATTTTCAAATTCTTTTCCTGAAAAGCAAAGTCCACTCGCGATTTTCTTTTCAGTTTTTCCGTTTACAATAAATTTGCATTGAAAGGTGTATTGAATAATATAATGCAATAAAGTCGAGTAGAGTCGTGGTTGTACGTACTATATATTGCAGTAAAAGGCAGTTGTTTCAATTAAAATGTTGTGTGCTATTTGTCGCGAAATGAACGAATATTAAATACAATAAAATGAAATAATTAATGTTCTTAACTCAAATATATATTTTTCTGAATTTTTTTCTCTTTATTTTGGTACTGAAGTTTGCTTTAAATTCATATTTCGTATCAAATTGATTTTGAGTTATTAACAACCACTCTGACTTTTATAAAATTTTATTGTTACTAATGTATCTTCTTTTCAGCTCTTAATTTTTCTTTGTCTTTATCTGGATTCAATTAATCAGTTTCTGTTACAGAGAAATATCTTTATAGGAAGTATGAAATAATAATATCGGATAATCGACTGGCAAAAATGTAATATAAAATCTAGCGTCCATAAATGGAATTCAATGTAACCAATTAAGTAAAACAAGGTGAAAATGATTGAAAAGGAAAAATGATTCTTATAAGTGGTAATATTCGAATCGTACTATTTTCAAAAATTGTATTTAATCTTTTTCTGTTTGTTTCAGGCAGGTTGTAAATTTATGATTAAGGCTACACGAGCCTCATTATTTTCTTAAATTATGTTTAATCCTTTTCAGTTTTATTTCAGGAAGTGTTCTGGTGAGGACAACAAAATCAACACATTCATTGGACTTATTTATGTATATGGTTATTAAGATATAATCGTGAAACACTGCAGTATTTAATTAGGAGGCGTTAGATTTAAGCGAATTTTTAATATAATTACGAGCGCTCTTATAGGTAGCTATTCTTAGTAGTATAAGTATGTAGGACAAATATGCAATTGCATATTTATTAATTACAGATCTGTAATCAAAATCAAAATTAAAAAATGTTGCGATAGGAATAAAAAGCAAAAATCTACGTAAATATATGTATAGATAAGTAGATAGGTAGGTAGTGAATAAAAATAATGCTCCTTTTGTTGTTCGTTTGCACAACAGTCAAAAACGTTTTGCAAATGTGCATCAAGAGGATGATGGTATTGAATAGAAATAAAAATTTGCATAAATGGAGGGTGGATGGGATGAGGTAGGGCGGGTCTCCACCCGCAGCAACCTCCCCGTGGTGAGACCTGGGCAATCGTTATTCTTTGATGACTAATTAATAGCTGTATCATTATTTCTATGGTACATTTATTAATTATGCAGCAAATAATACGAGCGAATTGGCTGCGAAATTTGCTTTTTTCGCTATTTAATTTCTGTTATATTTTTCTCAGGAACTATGCCTTTCTGAAGTATACCACATTGCAAATACAATTTTATAGAAAGAAAATTAATAATAATGAATGCATGGCCAATATTGTTTAATTACGTACTTATACATATAGCTATCGTAGCATACGTGTGTGATTTAGATATATGTATTCGAAAAGTGACGTAGTATAGCATACCGTTAGTTGGATTCATTTACTGAGGTGGCGTTTAAATCAGTTTCTGTTCAGCCTAACTTGCAATGAAACATGGGCTGTTTTACCGACGTGGAATTCGGAATTCGGCATCGGTCGCCATCTGCTATATCCTGGTATATAAATATAAAATACTTAGCACTGCAACAGTCTAATGTACGTCGAAGGTAATAGTAGATTGCGGTAAAAGAGGGACTGGTAAAACAGGCACGATGATCATACCAGGTGTGCTCTCCGACTTAATCTCATTTGGGGTTGTCTGGGACCCCCTAAATCATGAACCCTCGAAAACGAAGGCATGTTCAGTATTTTGTATCTGTAGTCGCTGACTCATAGAATGTACTCCAAAGAAACTTTGTATTTTTACAATTTTTTAATTATTGTTGCTTGTTTCATAATATTGATTTTGCCATATAATTTTTCCCTTTCACTTAAGTAATTATATCCCTTCATTTGTGACAAGCATATAGAACTATTGGTGTTTGTAAACAAGCAGTGAAAATTAATGAAAATGATGATAAACTTGTCTTAATACAGAACTTTTCTTTATTAGGAAGAAGTATCGATAAACATGAGTAACATTTACATACAAGAACCACCCACTACGGGTAAAGTAAGTATCAATTAAAATTATTTTAATATATTTAATCTTATAACTTTGTTTTATTATAAATAGGTGATGATGAAAACAACAGTTGGTGATATTGATTTAGAATTATGGACAAAAGAAGCTCCCAAAGCATGTAGAAATTTTATACAATTGTGTATGGAGGGATATTATGATGATACTATTTTTCATAGAATTATTAAAGGGTTTATAGCACAAGGTGGTGATCCAACGGGTACAGGTGAAGGAGGTGAAAGTATATATGGACAGCCATTTAAGGTATGCAATAGTTGAATATGAAACTAATATTCTTTTTTATTGAACAATGACTATGAAATGTACATGCTTTAGGATGAATTTCATACAAGATTACGTTTCTGCCGGCGTGGTTTGCTTGCTATGGCTGGTGCTGGCAAAGATGATAATGGTTCTCAGTTTTTTTTTACTTTTGGTCCTACACCAGAATTGCAGAATAAGCATACTATCTTTGGTAAAGTTACTGGAGAAACTGTATATAATATGCTAAAACTTGAAGAAGCACTTGTGGATGAAGTAAATTTCAATAAAGAAACTTACAATTAATTATAGAAAGATTGATAAAAAATATATTTTTATGGTTTTAGAATGATAGACCTCTTTATCCTCCAAAAGTTATAAAGACAGAAATATTAAACAATCCATTCTCTGATATTGTACCAAGAGTAACAACGACAAGTGAAGAAATAAAAGATAGTACAAGAAGTAAAAAAACAGGAGTGAAGTAAGATAAGCAAACGAATAGAATATATATTTAGACTCATAATACCCCTTGTAACACATTTTGTTGTAGAAACTTTAATCTTTTGTCTTTTGGAGAAGAAGCAGAAGAAGATGAGGAAGAATCTGTGACACTGAATAAACAGTTGAGTGGTAAAAGCAAGTCAGCTCATGACAATTTAACTGATCCAAAATTAAGCACTCAAACAGCTGTTGAACCAGCTGGTCCTCCGAGTAAAAAAAAGAAAGAAGATCGCAGTAGTGATTGGGAAAGCGATGACGAAGTAAAAACTACAGAAGAATTAGAAACTATAAAGAAGGAAAAAGAGTGGGTATATTATATTTAATATTTTTCGTTCTTTTGCAATGTATACATTTATATTTTTAGTGCAATGAAGGAAAGAATAAAAAGTAAATTAAGAGAATCAAAGAAAGACCCCAAAAAAGTCGAAACTTATAAAGTAGACGATGTTGAAGGTGACAAAGATGAAGAAGAATATTACCTCGGAAAAGATAGAGATCTAGAACGCAAAAGAAAGGCGTATGTATCTTGTAATCTTTTACAGACTATCAGAATATTGATAATTGCGTGTTATACAGGGAGGAAATAAGAAAAGAAATTCGAGACTTGAAACGCGATGTTAAAAACGAGAAGAAAGCTAAAGAAGCCGATAAAAAGATCCAACAGGAACAAGAAGAAAAGAAGGAGAAGAAAACGGAAGTTATGAAAAAATATATCGAAACTCAAGAGAAGTATAAGGAAGCAAAGTTAAAAATGCCTAAAAAGGGTAAAAGCCGTGAAGATTTCACAATGGCTCTATTAAATAAATTTAAATCTAAGCTTCAGAACGCTAAGGAAGTTGTAAAAGAAAAATCACCAGGATCGCCAAAAGCGGAAGATGGTAACGAAGAAGATTTTGATCCAGCTGATGAATCTTGGATGGTACATACATTGCAATGCGAAGAAAAAGTACCAATTCTGGCTAAGGATGCAAGTACAAAAGATGATGATTGGTTTGAAATTTATGATCCTCGAAATCCACTTAACAAACGACGAAGAGGAGAAAAGTCATCCAACTCAAGGGACGATAGAAATAGACGAAACGATTCTCGTCGTAAATAACATTTATTATAAGGAATACAAAATTATTTTAATTTATTGTACAGAATTATATTTAAAATTTATGTATGATACATTAAATGCATTTTCTTCTTTTAAATACAAATTGAATTAGACATTGACATACCTTCTATCTAGGTAATATTAAAGTAGTACTGTGAAAAGAATATTTAAATATCTGTTTTTGATATGGTGTAGTTGTGTTTATTATACTATAAGAGATAACTAATATTTTTATGGCGAAGTTAGATAGCGACAGTAGCATGATTTTGTGCAAATAGAAGTATAGATCATCGTTTATACTGGCTACAGTAAAATTGATAAGGCGCTGATACAAAGCATGGCGTGCTCCTTCACGGATTCAGTCGATCTGTTGACTACGAACGATATACATCGTGTATTTATGTTACTTCGCGATTAAATAAACGTAATTAATTGCTTCATTAGACGAATTGTGTACTATAAGAATTACATTGCTATTACAGGGGAAGGTTTAAATAATTTTTTCAATAATATCAAGAAGCTCCTTTAGACAATACAAGTTTTCTAGAAGTATTCAGAATTAAATACTTCAAAATACGCAAAGTTTCACTGATGAATGATCAGTATATTTAATTAGTGATAGTGAGTGTTACTAACAGTGATCCAGAGAGTGTTTTATGCTTCACCTTCACAGAGAGAATGTCAACGACGCCATTAAAAATAAATATAATTGGTATGGCTTTGTTTCTTTATTTCCTAAAAATGCAAATATATACATATATTCGATGTTACAAATTGTGGTATCTTTTAAAAAATTGTTACTGTAGTTTTTACTCGAACTTCAGTTGTTTATTTTTGACTGCTAATAAAAGAATAAACTGCGTATTTAATTGATCGATAAATCTGTCGCAATTATTGAATCTTTATGTCTCTTCACCGGTTTTCTTTTGCAACTCACGATGTATTATATACATACAAAAGATAAAGAAAAGTATTTGCGCAATTTACATTCTTACAATTATTATATTTAAATAAGGTAAATATTATTGAAGTACCACAGGCATATTAATTCTTATTATTAATCATAATTAGCTGCATGTATCATTGATCTACTACATGTATGTATATCATAAACGCATACAATTATCTACACGTGTTATCGTGAAGCGGAGATTTAAACATGGTCCATCAAAAATTGTATTAGTATTGATAGTTGAATTAACTGATTATGCAATGTTATTATTTATTTAAACGGCCTATACAAAGCAGCGTGGAAAAGATATTGCCCTTTGAAATCGAATATAATACATTCACTTTTATATTCTCCTTTGATTAGTCATAATAATAGTAATATATTAATCTCCCCTGACAAGATAGAACAGGGTTTTATGTTTGTCATTATCTTGGTGAATCTGTACAGGGTGTCTAATTTTAATTTATCTATGTAATTCTTTGATGTACTATTTATTATTCAAAAAATGCTCTGAGCAGTATTTATTATGGTAGAAAGTATTAGGGTGGAATATTAAAAATATTACATTCTAATACATTTTTACATAAAATGTTTCAGAGAACCAACCTATGTAAATAAAAAATATGGTTTCACCTTAAAAACAAAGATTATTGCGAAATCTCTGAGGCGCCTCTAATTAACTTTGGAACATTTTTTGAAAAATGAACAGTTCAAAAAGCCATTGTACGTATGTATATATTAAAATTGAACACTCTGTATATAAGGGTCATAGCATCTACGTATGTGTCATAGGAAATAAAATAATCAAATTATACTGTCTTATCGGTCAGTAAGTAATGCAAATATCGCTCAAGTGTTCAACGAATTCCAGAATTCTTTTTTTTCAACATTCCATATCATGAGATAAATGGATTGCATGGAACGATGTTTAAGTCGCAATTAGCGATATTCATTTCATTAATATCTATTATGTTTTTTCTATAAACATAAGAGTTGGAATTTGATGGAATAATGTAGTGTAATGGTTGTAGGTGTGGGTTATCATGTTCATTAGATACAAAGGTGAACGATGACGTCGATGTCCTCTTATTCATTGAATCTTCTTCGCTCGTGGCAAACTATACTAATTTAATGATTATGAATTAAAATAAAAATTTTCTAATCTAGTAAGATTATAATCTTAACACATGTCCGGTGGTACTTTTAATTACATAAAAGATGTATATAATTGACGTTTAAATGATTCTTAAAAAAACAATAGATATTATTATTAATTAATCATTCAATTAAAAATCGAGTTTTTTCCTTGTTTTCATGATTTAGCCCCTCTATCGCTTTCCTGAACGCGTTGAAGATTTCATTTTTAAGGAAAGTCACGAAATTTGTTATTGTTTCAGAATAGTTTTAAATTCAAAACATTATTTTAGATGGTGAAATAAAATGATTCATCAATTTTGAAATAAATCGCATAAAAATTAAAGATAATCATTTAAATGCGTTTTAATAATACGTCACGGTACTTTCAGTCGTGCATCGCGGAAAGTAAAACGATTAAAATGTTTTGAATCTCTTAATAAATAAACATAGATGGAAATGTAGCTGTTACGAAAGCAGTTTTACGATTAGTGACGTACTAATCGGATGACGATGTAATCACATAATTCAGCAAAGAAATGAAATATTTTGATTGCTCGATCCAGTCATGATTTATTACATGTAACACAATAAATAAACAGTTAAAGTAATATCTTGCCAATCGTTTATTTACCTTCAGGTAACGTTTGTGGCTTATATAATTGGAATAAATAAGAAGGATTACGAGTTACATAAATTTAATTAATTATTTGATAGAGCAGACTGTATACAAGGTGATAGAAAAGTAGGTGATCAAATTGTTTTTTAATAAAAAGGGCTATACTTATTTTTTGTATCATTTTGTCAAAAGATCAAAAGATCAATTTTGAACAAGAAACTTTCATACAAGTTTTACAATTCATAGAAGAGAGTACGCGTCCGCGAGACTGGGAGCCTCGTAGGTTGCAGTACAAGGTGCCACTGAGACTCTTACGATTATGTGTATTGGGAATGATCCTTCCTTCTATACTAGTAGCAGGACCGATGTATTTGCGATATCGTGTTTATTCCGAACAACTCTATCCTCTAAGTGTCTCTGATCAGAGACTGATCGACGCAAAAGTGTCCACCACTTGGTGCCAGGTAGGTAATTCTACCTTAAACTTCATTATACTTCGCAACAAATAATTATCAAAAAACAATTATTCTCAGCGACAAGTGATCAAAGTAAACGCGACTTTTAACGCCTATTTGATGAACGACGAGCCAAAAGTGAAGAGTGAGGTGTTTCCTGTGTCTATGACCAGACACTTGATCCTGGAGGACGACATGAAGGAATATTGGGGGTTTTATCTTCTTCGTGGTAGCACGGTCACTGTTTCTACTTGTGTAAGGTATTACGGAGGATAATACAAAGCTAAGAATAATTTGATCTAATAAAAAATCATGTGTGTTGTAGATGGCCTGGTGCATCTCTGACGATTATTCGTGGACATAAACATCTTCACGAATGTGCCTTCATTGGGGATGATAGCAGCGAAGAGTTGGAAGAGCTACTGGAAATTGCTAAAGAGAATGGACTTCTTACTGTTAATGGGACTGATGAGGTATTAGGATGAGGATTTTTATACATGGTCCATCTTATATATTTTTAAATAATTAAAATATCATAGAATCTGTATATTTTTCAAAGCGCGAAAGTCCTAGCAACGAGCCAGAGAAGATGAAGAGGGCTCACCAAGGGGTTCAATTCCATCACAAGGACCACGCTAATCTCTTCAACAGCTCAAAACATCTTACCAATACCCTGAACCATCATTACAACAGTCATGAATTGGATGCCAAAGCTATGAGAGCGATTCTCAGTGAATTATTCGCTAAAACTCTGGACACGAAGAAGAAGCAAAAGGAGAATCCTCATCATCATTACGAAGGTACCTTCGTAGAAGTCGACAATATTGATAAACCACCTACTCAATATTCATCAGATTTAAAAGACCAAAAGACGAAAACGAATAATCAGATGGAGAATAAATTGATAGAAACTTTGGAGGAGGTTTTAAAAAAACATGAAGCTTCTGAGAAAGTAGCTTTACCTAGTATCGTGAAGAATCAAGGAGAAATATTGGAGGTGCATGGTAAACTTGAACATGGAAGTGTTGAGAAGAATCAGACAGTTAAAAAAAAGATGATTAATGAACCACCAGAGCCTACATCTGCAGAAGTGTTCCAGGATGTTCTAAATAAAATTAATTCTCTGGGTTTTCGTGGTAAGAAGATTCTAAAGAAGTTGATGGATGAGATCGAAGAGAAAGGTCCTGAAGGTGAAACATTACGAAGAGTTGTGAATGAAACGATGAATAATAAAAAATTGTCAGATGCTGAGAAGCTTAGAAGACGAAGAGATTTGATTTTGTCCTCGCCTCTTAATAAGGAGTTGAATGAAGATGATGAAGACGACGATGCTGCCATTGAAGAGGTAAAATAATCTATTTTCAAATTACCAAATTTTCAAAATACCAAATTACCAAATTTCTAAATTTCCTGCCTTCAAATCCTAAGCACTAGTGTCTTAAAAAACAAGAAAATAATAATACCGTATAATTTCTACTTATCAGCAAGAATGAAGGCAAAAGTAAACTTTAGATTATCGCAGAAACTTTTCCGTTTGTTAGAGTTGAGAACGGCAATTTTTCACCGGCTTGTTTAATAACAAAAATAGCTGCACAGGGTATTAAATGCAGTAAAGCTTAAAAGCTAAACGAAACTGTGGTGTCATGAGATGTTGTTTAATCGTTGATTCATCGTAGGCAAAAGTTAATTCGATTACAACGTGCAGCGTTTGGTTTTGTAAATATCTTGACGTCAAACACATCAATGATAAGAGACCAATTTGATAGATCATAATCAAAGCTTATCGCGTGACTTAGATATTTTAGAAGCTCGCATTGTTCTCATTAAAGGCTAGTAAGTCACTTTAATTATCTGCCTCGATATCCGCTATTTAGTCGTGTAGATTTCCGTCCGCAATTCTTATCAAAGTATTTTCAAGACGATGTTAATATTTACTCAACACAATTCCACCGAAAAATTGTAATAAAAGAGAGGTGATTTTATATTTGGAGAACATTGTTTGGTTCCACAATCTCATTGGTATTAATAGAGTACTGTTTAAAGACTCTAAAAAATTTCTTTTTAATCATATTTAATGTCGTGGGACCTTGTTTCAAAATTTAACAAAAAAAAAATAACAGAAAAATATTATTTCGAACAACATTACTATGTACTTTATTATTTCTTGTACATTAGGATATGTTGCACCCAGATGGAATAGCCGAAGACAGAGGCACAGTGAACGAGACAACATTAAACGACAGAAGTAATTCGGAATTCTGGAGCTCTTTCAGCAGTTCCGAAGAACGTCTTCTCGATTGCAAAGGGTTGATCCTAAATTTACCCTTAACTCCCCATCGGCATTGTACTCCGAAACACGAAAAGGAACACTCAGCCGCTTCGTTTGCCAACACGGTTACGTACAGGTGTGTAGACAGGTTTATAAATATTGATGAACTCTCGAACGAGATAAGGAGAGATAAGCTTTTAATTCTAACTAGGTAAATATAGATTAAATTGCTGATGATACGAAGAATTTTTTCGAGACAATGCAATGGTCCGACCTATTGTTCTTCTACTTATCCCATGGTAACTTGGTTGTTTTGATTCATTCATAAATACATCCTAATTATCGAAGAATATTGATTTGTTTTATAGAGTACCCATGAACGGATACTATTTCTTCGTCTTCAACTCTGAGAACGAGATCCAACCCAACTATCTGCGGGTACGTTTCGACTTGCTGAAAACAGTCTACAACATCTCGAATCCGGTTCACGCCTGTCAGAACAGTACAAGCGAGTGTTCTTTACCGTTCAGAATTTTTAGTAACGAAAGAACTGTTTTGGAATTGCCATTGAGCGGCAATGATTCACAGTGGAACGAAGAATACGTGGTGGTATCAACGTGCGAGCCTAGAACATCTGTTTACTTGCTCTGCATTATATCGGTACCTTTACTCATCCTCCTATTTGCTTTTCACTGACAATCGCTTTGAATCAGTATAAGATGAACAACAGTATTCAGATCTCCAAGATGGTGAACGATGATCACTTGTAAATATTACTTAGCTTCAAGGCGAACAAAGTGGAAGAACAATGCGTTTGTCACGATTACGATTGCTCAACAGTATTTGAATTGGCAGAGGAAAATAGTGAGGTTTTACTTGATAATGAAAAATTGTATTATTAATGAGTTAAAGAAAAATTCACGTTTCAAAAAAATATTGAAACATCTGATAATGACAGTCTAGGTTTAAGTGTACTATGTGATATGTACTTTTGAAGGTAATTAGTATTTAGTCGCTTGTTTGAAAATACGCTTGATAGATTTCTTTTTATAAGTTGTTTGGGATATACTAATAGATTAGGATCAATTGATACTCATCTCTTACGTCAACGAAGAGTTAAAAGTTTTTCTTTTGCTATCAATTAAAAATATCTCCACTTGTACATTTCGTTCTTGTATTATCTTCAATGAATGACATAATTTCGATCGCATTTGACTAGTTTTAATCAAATTACTTCAACAAGCGTTTATATCAAAATATTTCATTTATACAGGTATTAAAAAATGCTGTCGATCGAAATCGAATATTACATATTCATATTAGAGAATGTTATTTTATTTACTGCAATGCTACGTTCTTAATTTATTGCATCATTATATTGTCTCGATGTAAATCTACGTTTAGGAATGGAAATATTTTATACTAATTATTATGAAATTAATTTTATAGACTACAGAGAGCATTTATATTTTCAGTAAAAAAGAATCGAAGCAACTGCATTTAGATTTTATTTATTTATTTATTTATCTTAGGACTTTACTCACTGGAAGTCTATTAATTATATTATTTTTACCAAATTGTAATACTTTTATGCCATGAAATGGTTTCAGAATTTCTCTATTTCAAAATCAACCATTTGATATGCGACAATCTGATACAAAATAATAGTGAATTTCCATTTCATTTGAAAATGGTAGATAAGCTCTTGAAACCTGCAAAATATAATTAAAAGGAACAACGAAGGAATTAGTACAAAAATTTCCATGGAAAAAGTAGCGTGACCGAAACGATGCTAATTAAGAAGCTGGGGTAATCCTTTACCGTCTTCGAACATCTTAAAAATTGATCTCCGTCCTATCTGTCCTCCTAATCCCTGAGATTAATACTTCATGCCAATACAAGAGCCTCCCGACAACTTGACCCTGCGATTCTATGGTTGAGGGGGTGCGAGAGGAGGACTCCTGGGGGCTTCCAGGGCGGAGCATCCCTTATCAGCACTGAACACTCGTCGCTCTGCGCAGCCTCTGTGGCTCCAGTGACTTTTTCAAACGAATTCACCACCACCTATAGTTCTTGCTTCGAAAACTTCCTTGCTTGATACTCATCTTGGAATATTACAAAGGAATATCATATCTCACTCCTTGTAAAAACATTTGTTATAATTCAAATAACAACCCTCCCATTTTTGTGAGAGACACGTGGAATTTATATGGGGTGTTCCAAATAGTAATTAACTAACTAATTATTATTTTTTGAGATATTATTTCTTTAATATATGAAAGATTTTCATTCAGAAAATTGAGTGGCAAATTTTCAATTGCTTATATGCTTTTCATAGGTGTGGGTCATAATTAACCCATCGATACTTCAAAAATTAATAAGAAAAAAAAATACATTCAAGTTTTTACTTTTCCATGTAGAAATAAAAAATATTCTCTTGTCAGATGATAAAGGCATGAAACATAGTGGCGCAGCAAATTATCATGGGAGATCTGTAGCATGAAAAAGCTAACGGGAATGGAATATGGTCGAGCACGTGAAGAATTATTGTCGGCAGGCTGTGCTAATAGAAAAGAGGCGTGTCGTCGGGTTTGCGCAGTGTCCCATGAAACGTCAACGCGTTCAAATAGAATCCCCATACCAGCTTCACCCTGAGGAGCACAACGACCAACGGTGTAGGGGGTGAAATCAATTTTCGTTATCGCCGTCAACCAGCCGGCCCATATTAATCCAATTATTAGTGTTTGTTTTCCAAGCACGACTCTTATCGTTCTGGAATTGTTCAAGTTCCGGAACATGATCCTTGAAAGAATTGCTGATGTCTATGATTCTGGGAGAAACTGAATTTTATTTATTCCCATCTACCTACGTGACAATATCTCGTAGATAATAATGAATAGAGAATTTTATCAATGTTCAATGATAATGAGAGTATATTTCACGGAGATAATGCTAACACCTAATTTGTATTCGCTGGCACGCGCAAATTGAGCTGTATATTGGTAAACCTGTGGGAAACCGCTACGAAACCCACCCCAAGTCACTTTTTAGGGTGCTTTTGCTGGTTCGATGGGAATTTGCCGAATTTATTATATGAATTTTAATAATAGCAAATTTTTCTCATATTATTGAAAATGTACACTTTCATTTTTCTTCACTTATCATTTATTTGTACTAGAATGTGGGTAAAAAGAAGAAGGAAAGGTGAACTTAAATATTTTACCACATTTTTTGCCACAGTAGTATCATACACCGTATGTGGTCGCAATAATAGATTAGCCGAGATTGGAAAAAAGTTACCCCTCAAATGGTCGTATTATGAATAAGCCACGCGGCATCATTCAAGACTGATGCACGTGTCGTTTATACGCCTTTTATTTCCAGATTAAGGTGTCGATAAACCTAAAAAACGGGATTCTAATAGCGGTATTAAATAAAAAATTGATACTCTTAAATCGAGCTCGTAAACACCCCCTGTAGTTGAGAAACCTTCAAATTTGTTAAAAATCATTTTTCACAGTGGGTTACAAATATCACGACAAAATAATGATTTTTAATTTTTAAATTTTAGATTGATAAAGAGAATTAAAAAAATAATACTAAATTTCAGTCTCCACCTTCTTCCTGTTTCATCTCATTAACATTAGCTTCGAAGATGCTTCCCGTACAATTAAATAGCAAAAAATATTGACGCGAGTCTTATCTAATCAGTATCCTTATCAAAAGCCATGCGAACGTAAATTGTATTGTTTCATGTTAGTTAATTATAATGTTTGTTGAGACATTCTTGTATGAGTCAATCGTTTTATACAAATAACATGGAAAAACAAATAAATGTGACAATCGTTAAAGTAAAAATTCAACTTCTGTTTGACAAATATTAAGATAGGTATCTATTGCATTAATGACCTGTGATAATTCTCGGTACACTTGATAATCGTTTTAATCAGTTCCGTCATTGTTAATACCTTGTTGGCACAGTATTAGGTAATTTTTTAAGCTTCTAAACTGGGGATTTTGTTTTATTAATGAAATGAATGAAGAAAGTAGGAAAGTTTCTGAATTGATATTTTCGAAAGCAGAAGATTTAATTTTATAATTTTATAAATCATTTTAATAATCATTTGATTGTTATAGGTAAAATTAAACAGGCTCCCACGCAGATTCGTCGTTAATAGGGCTCGAATGAACACGATCGCAGATTTAATCATTTAATCGGGATCGCACGATGACACCCTTCCCCTGGTCCATCCCCTTGGAAAATCTATATCACCCTCCAGAGGTGTCACAATAAAACAGCTCGTGGCTGGTGGCCACTTGACAACGGCTGGAGATATTCTCACCCCTAATGTATATTAAACAAGGCTCCCTTTTTTTATACACCTCTGCATCCCCCCCGTTGACTTCGTGGAGTGGCGCTAATAAGAATCTAATTGCTTGGGAACGTTCGAAATTTTATTTTCATTCCACGAAGCTCACGTTTGTCAAGGTATTTGTATTTTATGAATCATATATTTTTCGAAAGCTATAGATTCTGTAAAATAATAGTATAATGTTTCTTAAACGGTACCACATAAAATCAATATTTCTTTCTTTTCGTCGCATTTAGCCGAGACACATGGGGGTCTAACAGCGACCTAAGGGTGTCCGGAGGGATGCTGGATACGCATGGAACAGTATGGGACGGACCAGAGAGGAGCTCCACCCATGGAGGCTCGTGCTCCGCCTTCGCAAAATTCATTTTCCCGGGGGTTGTATCGTGCTTTCTATTAGTCAAATCGGCCCGTCTGGACTCGTCAGTCGGTTTAACAGCTACAATCGTAACCCGGGTCAAAAGTGTCTCTTATCCCTCCGAATAAACTTAAATACTAATCCGTTATTGTTTCGTGAAGTTGAAACTGGTGTTGTGATCATAAAAGTGAAGGAGAATTGTTTTTTAATATGGTAAGGATCGGTTGTGACAAACTTTGTGCAATATCTCATTGACGTATCAATTTTTAAGTGAAGGAGTTTCAATTGTTAATTTTTAATAAACCATCCTCCAAGGGTTCAACATAAAAATGTAACTTTTTACATTTATTTTGAAATATTTTTATGAATGTTTAAGATTCTTTCTTCAGTGATTAAATTCTTGTAAATTTCTGAAACGAGTGACGTGTCAACTTATCTGTTGAATGTCAGGGACAAAAGCGCGGAGAGGGTGCGATAGGAGCATCCGGTTGGCGCTATGTCGGTTTATTTTATTTTCTGATGATTCAACCAGATTTCCCGCGTCTTTTGTCATCGACCATCTGATCGTGCCACGCGACTGAGGAATTTAGTGAAATAGTGATTAATTCTAATGATTCGAACGGTTTGTCTTAGTACCAGGAGATCCAGACGTGTTATTCGTAAATTACAGTCGATGCTGACGTACAATGGTTGTACCGGAGGTACCGTAGACACGGAGAATGGTTCTCCAGCGGATTCACTTTTGTCAGCCGAAGGGGAACTCGCCGAGGAAGCTGGGGATTCGCCAGGTACACCGAGAGATACCGAGGAGGAGGCTACACTTTCCGATGAATTTTATTCCCACGATACTGACGAGGATGAGGATCAAGGCAAGAAACGAAGAGATCGCACTAATTCCGTGAGCAAAATTTCATTTAACTGGCGTTACGTTAATTAATTAGAGCGTTTTCTGTGATGAATCTATACCACCTTTCTTTTTACCAATTTATGGTAATTCTTAAGACTATCCGCAATAATTTCATAGCTAGACGGCATTTCCTCTTCCGGCGGTGGACACCTGGGTTCACCCACACCCAGAGTAGGCAGTCTAGGAGTTCGAAAGTTGTTCACAAACAGCCGTGAACGTTGGAGACAGCAAAATGTCAGCGGTGCCTTTGCGGAACTTCGAAAATTGGTACCTACTCATCCACCAGACAAGAAACTATCCAAAAACGAAATTCTACGAATGGCAATTAGGTGAGTCCTCTAAATACAAAAGTTCAAAAAATTACAATTAATTAAAATAACATATTTTTCAGGTATATACGACTACTAAGCAATGTCCTGGAATGGCAAAAAGCACAAGACCGAAACGAAATCAACCAACACGAAGTTCGAATAAAATGTGAGCCTAATTTCAATCAAAATTCAACTATGTATCACACAAAATCATCAATATTAAAACAAGAGAAGCAAATGAACGAGAATCATGGATACAGAACATCTGGTATCATACAGCATCCGGTATCTCAGGTGGTATGTGACAAAAATGGGAATAATTTATTGATGATTGCTCCAAATGGTCATGGTATACCTAATAAGAGAAGTATCACACCATCGACTCAAAACCCTTTACCACCGGTTGTGATGAATAATGGAAGTATAAGAGCATCTTCCAATGGTCCACGACCTTCGACCTTCCCAAAATCACCTCAAGTGAGTGGTCAAGGTATAAGTTCCAGTATTACTTGCCCATCGACTGGATCTGTGACGAATAATGTACCCACTGTTAATGGAAACGTGCCTAATTGTGGTCAGAAGAGGTTGAAGATTGAGAAAGAGGATGATGAATCTGGACAAAATAGAGAGTGTAAGGTTTTGCCTGCTCATAACGTCCCTATGAGGAAAAGGGTGAAAATGACCTTTGTTAAAGACTCGAATCCGGGATTTCGTAATGATTTTAGAAATGTAGAACATAAATGAGTTTTATTTACATTACTGGATGAAGAGACAAAGATATGTTAAGTGCAATTTAGTATAGAACATTGGTGTACGTAGGTAAGGGTGGGGGGTGGGCCAGGTTCTTCGCTATTTCCAAATTTTCAAGTTTCAAAATTTCAAAAATCAAAAATTTCCAAATTTCTAAGGTACCTAGCCCTCCCCAGAAAAGAAACCTAGTCACTCCAATGGTATAGAAAGAATCTGTACAACAAAACGGTGTATAATCTTTCTCAAAGAATATTTTATTAGTTAAATTGTATTTATGTTGAATCTCAGTCATACATACCGATACAACGATACCAGAAAACAATAACCGAAGAATCACCAATGAATTTCTTAGAAGACATCAACATGTATAATCCAACAATATCACAAGAAAATTTCCAATACATATAAAATTCCATCATTAACGATACACAGATTGACAAAATTCGTACACCGAACATGGCGAAGAGAAGTCAACGACTACGTGTTACAACAATTTACTAACAACAAAGTCTGACTCAGAAATGAAGAAAATAAACAGGAATTTAGCAAACGCATGAATCTTTGATCGTCGTTTTTGTTTCTTAACAAATTTCGGAAAACTTCAATCGTTTAGGTAAGGTACACTTTGTATCTCGTACTGTCCCTCTTCTGGCGTTCTGAGATTTCTTTCAGACGGGCAGCCGCATAGCGATCATTGTTCCATTCGACAGGAGGAGTTGGAGTGGCTGGTCTTTCTTCGGTTTGACTGAAAGCTCTTCGAGGTGGAAGTTCGACCATTTTCCTGGTGCTCTTGCAATCAACGCTTGCCCGTTTCGCGTTATAATTACTGATACTGGCATAACTGACGTCGCTGGTACGAGAATCTCTTTTAATGGGATTCACCTCAGCGTAGCTACCTCTGGACTTGGTACTAGCATCGGAACACCTCTTCTTTTCAACCTGGTAACGACTTTCCTGTGACTCTTCTGATTTTTGTTTCAGACGAGAGGTATTATCGCTTTTCGCTGATTTTGTTGATGCTCGACGAGTCTTTTCTTCGTAGTCATCGGAATATGTTCGTCTTTCTTTTATTTTTGGCTTTGATACACCTAGGTCCTCGCTGAATCTCAGTCTCTCGTTGAATCTTCTGAGACGGTCCTCGTATTCACTATTGAAGGTCCCGGTAGGAGGATCCTTCAGCGGGGGTCGTTTGGTTTCTTGGTGGTCTGACTGCACCTTTGTGTCCTTCAGCTGTGGAAATTATTTTGACGAAATACTTTTAAAGAAATAACGCATTCACATTGATATAAGTAGGATTTTTCCTTGGAGGTGAGGCAGCTTTTTTATCTTTGTTAATAGTGTTAAGTATTAGAACATTAGAATTTGAGAATTTTGAAATTTTAGAACACTGGAATCTTAGAATGATAAGGGGGAATTCTACACTTTGAAGAGCTTAGGTCCACTTTAGCCTTTATCTAGTTACGCCAATGCTGCAAATTTTTATCTAACTCTAGTAAATAATTATAATATTTATAATTATAATTCCTCACCTTAATTACATTCATTCGGTTATTAAATTCCAAGTCTTGACTGTTCCTCCGAATCGCTTGATTACTTTTCTCTTCTTCGCTGCTGCTTTTACTGATCCACATATTACCACGTCGAGCACTGGTCGCCCTTTTTGGCCATTCATTTTCCGTTTTAAAATCATATAAATCTCTCATACGCTGAGTAAGTCTTTTAGATTGCTCATTAGCGTCGGGCGACTGCTTCGTCGATGGTGAATCTCGGGTTGATCCCGCCTCATCTACAGTTATTCACTCATCAATTTAAAATTCATTTTTTATAAATAAAAATTTAATTATTTACCTTGATTTTGTACAGGTTCCTTGCTCATGGACGCCGGTGCGAATTTTCTGATCGGTTCCCATTTGGGCGATTCGTTTTTCGCGGATTTACCCGGCGAATCGTTCGCAGAAGGCGTATCAGTCTCGGACGGTTTTCTTTCCGGGTTCATTCGCGGTATAGGAGACGGGGAGGGATTCTTGACGAACGCCATCCATCTGGTCGCGGCGTTTTTCGTGATTTCGCAGCTGTTGCTGATCCTTGCGAACGGTGACGCGTCGTAGCGGAACCTTGAGGTGTTAATTTGCGGTAGCCACCTAAAGTTATTTGGTATCAGAAACCCATTTTCGAGATACGATACATTTTTTTTTTTTTTTTTTGTTTAACGCCAGAAACGGTCAGTTAATCAACGCTTTTCATTTTCTACCGAACAAACGAGATCTGTATAAATACATATATTGTATATATTGTTTCGTGCCATTTATACATTTCTATCGGACATCGAATGATTTTATATTCTATGTACATATATAATAATTTTTCATTCACGACATATTTTAACGTGTACCTATTACAGTTTAGCGCAACGTCTCGGTACTTTAATCACGGGCTTACGAGAGCGTCACATTATCGGATTCGTTCACGGCATTGGTTTCTTTTTGACTAGGAAAATGTGCTCTGTCAACCTCGTCGCGATCATTCGTGGGTCGCTGCATTCCGTATGCCTTCGTTCCTCGATCAGCTTTTCGTTCTTAACGCGGCCAACGTCGGTGCTATGGCTCCTTCCGGCCGTCGATCTGATGGTAGACGAAGAGGTTGTACCATTGTTTTTCTCTTCGGCTTCTTTCGTCGTTGTTTCTTCCTCTTTCGTTGGAGACAATTTCTTTATCACCACTACGTTTGGCGTTTCTAACATATTCTCATCTGGTTCACACGACACTGAACGTCGTTTCTCTTCGTCTTTCGATGATGATTGAGGGGATTTCTTTAATGCTGGCTGGACTCGAGTTATCGTTTTTGGTAACGGTATCCACCTCGAAGGGTCTAGTTTACTGGTGTCCGCTACTTCAGTGTGTCTTCTCTCCTCTACCCGCCTTTCTGTGTATTTCTTCAAACAATCTACGTCCGCGCTACGACTTCTTTGACTGCGAGGAGAGCGAGATGGCCTGCGCTGACCGGTGCCCATTGGGCAGGCCTTCTCCTGCTTTCGGGGGTAAACGGTGCACGGTTATTGCCGCATGTTATGGACAATTTGGGATTATTTTAACTAATAGCAAGTTTAAAGAGAAAATTGTTCCATCACTTGTTCATTCTGGTAATTAGGATTTTTTTAAGTATGAGGAAGGGATTCTAATTTGGGATCTTCTTAGGTTCTCCAGAAACCAAAAGCAAATGATGGGACACTATTCCTCTCCTGTACTAACTTTATTGATACATTTATTGATACCGGAATAGCACGTGAAAATGGCTCACCTAAGCAAGATGTAGCTTCGCGTAATCAGATATGTGCACAATACCGTGCTCAGCAGACGCGACGTGCAAACTAGCACCGCAAGCTCGAGGATTTATTCTGGCAGTGTGCAATTCTGCGATCTGAGTACTGCAAGCTGCCGCAGGATCGCCGCTCGATGATAAATGTCCGCTCCAGAATTCGTTTCCTATAAGAAGAATAGCGATAGGAACTCACCTACGTATGGGTGATGTGCCAATCATTATTTTAATTAATTATCAACCTGGTAGCGCGTTTCCATCCCAAGCGTACGTCACTACGAGAAGCTTGTTAACATCGGTTGCTCGGAACAATTTGCTGTGAGGTTCCCTGATTGCGAAGTGAATCCTTATATCTGGAAAGGTAGACGATAGATTGTTTGCGGTATTCCTTTCGATTGAAAGTATACGACGATATTTGCTAGCAAACCTCCGAGATAGTCGCCGTTTCCTGCGTCGCCGCATTTCGTCTGATGGAAATATCCGAACATTATGTCGGACACGTATCTAAGTTTCTTGTTCATCTTTTTTATAGCGATCTCGAATGTTTTTAGAAAGTATATTTCTTGATCCTGAAGTACTCTCCACACACCTGAACATTTTATGTTATGGACTCTAACACAGTTTGTTATTTGAAATATGATTAAATGAATTTATCTACTAACCGAGACCAAAGCCTACAACATGCAAAAATGCAGTCGTGTTCTGCTTTTCAGCTCGACTATTCGCTTCGAGCAGTATAATTTCCACAGTTACCAATATTCTTTTCATGTAACTCTCGATATCAAAGATAGTCTGGCTGGTCAACGAAAGGTATCTTTTATTATCTTTCGATTTAACCCGTTTTACGGTTTCTTCGTACACTGGTTGATACTTTTCGCTGTAAAAATTTGCCCATGTAATCCTCAAATCGTGCGCCTCCTCCGAGTTCGAGTTTGCAGTGGGCCCATATCTATCGCATAAACCCATCAACACATTAAAAAATAAAGGGAAGATCAATCATTTTTTAAAAATTTAAAAATAGCCAAATTACCCATTATCCACTGTGTTTTGCAAAGGAGTAATAAGTATGTCTTGGTACTCCATCACACGAGGTCGCTCAAATCTGCAAACAATACCAACAGTGATAAAACACAAGATTTTTTATCATAAAAATAAGAATGTATCTTGTACAGATTTTCTGTTAAATAAACATAGAAAACCTTGTTCCCACGACACCTATAATCACTCCTCTCGGCTGTACAGAGTCTGGATCGTTAGTCACGACGCCTCTATTGTCTCGCGAGCCGTCGTTTATGAATTCAGTGTGAGAAGACATCGCCAACATTGCGGACAGTTTAATTTCATCGTACGACAAACATTTCGTTAACACCTATTTGCAATAATATTAATATTAAATATTAATATACCATACTATGTATAGTTCCAAGGAATACTAACCAGCGGTTCTTTCTCATTGTCCGTACCAACGTTCTCCCATCCATCGACACCTGTTTTACCATCGATCAATTTCCATCGATCCTCAGATCCAAAGAAATGCACGGCTCGTTTTTCTAACAATCTATGAATGAATTGTATCAATCCCATATCCTGATACATCGCTCTTTCTATAGCACTGCCGGATGTTCGTTTGTGCTTCAACCACCGAGCGATTAATGGTAACATCGCTTCGTGTATAAGGGGATACACGGAATTCGCGTTCCTCTATGAATTGTAATCAGGAAATAGTAATTCAGAATTCAAAAAGTCTCAAATCAACAAATTCTAAAATTCTAGGCTTAAATCTAGTCTTTCTTCCGCTAAATTAGAAATCTTGAAAGATGTTAAGTTTAAACCTCGAGTATGTCGGTGCTAATTCCTCTGTCTCTCAATGCGGAACATCTAATGGTGTTAACTGGAAATTTGATAGGGAAAGCTTCGCTTCGTTTGATGATTTGTGGAAGGGTCGTGGGTGTCGGTGTTGAAACGTCGATGCATTTTCTCAACAGTTCCTTGGTGTCGTCATCGAAGGGTACACCGTTTGGTGCTCCCAATGTGTTCTCCCACGATATTTCCGGTGGTTCCCTCAACAGTGCCTGCTGACGTGCTTCCGCCATTCGTCGATGGTTCTGTTAAAAAATCATTTAATAATTTGATGCAATATCATCTATCCTCAACACAAAAACAAAAATAAATATATTTACAACAGCCAATACTGTCTCTAACTTGAGTCGTTGCTCTGGCGGAAGTGACATTAGGAATTTAGACACGTTTTTTCGCGAGTACACGTTTTGGCTTTTGCAGTAATGCTCCTAAATTGTGATTCTTCGATTTTATGTCACTTGTTTTTCCTGATTAGGATCTCGTACACTAAGCGTTGTTGCGATAACGCGATAAGAGACATCTGACCAGATATAATGATCAGAGATAAGCCGATAAAGGATAGACACATAGCGAATTTTGTCATGCACTTATAAACGTCAAACCCACAGTATATCCAATAGTGCAACTCTCTGTCGGCACCTTTGATGTATGTGAAGCCGAAAATGAGTATGCATGCGCAAAGTCAGCGAGTAAATCTAGTATCGTCATCTAAACTTTTTTCTCTTTTAAAAAATGCAACATTGTTTTTTATATAACTTTATTTTTCTCTGCTATTCTTGATTTGATTTGGTTGTATTAGCCTTATCATTGTATAGAATGTTCAATCCTAAGGAAATAATAATAAAAAAAAATTATAAGTACACATATATGTCAGAGGTTCTTAAAAAAACAAATGCTGAGAGAGAGAGCGTAAAAAATGAAGGAATAAATGAGAAAAAAGTTCAGGCGACGTTAGTATATTTACTCGTGTGGGGTGATGATAATTAAGATTGTGTGGTCGGTAAGATTTCCACTGTCAGTAAAGGCGTGTTCCTTTTACCTTCACCTCACTACACGCATATAATTCGTACACGACAGTACCTCAGAGGATCAGTGAAAGGATTAAAACAGGTATTAGAGTTTTCACAACACGTATAATACAAAGAACAATAACGAAACACAAAAGTCAAAACGACCAAAAAGACGACGACGTCCAAACGCGACACACTAATAACTAGGCTTATAAACAGTTTGAACAAATAACTAAAATAGGATTAACACTAAAACGTCCACGCGTAAACTAAACTCTCAATTTAAAGAGGTAACACGATTTTAGGAGAAACAGTACAAGGGTGCGATTCAAAAATCTCGCGGCTTCGTTCAATGCCGGAGGAGGAAGAAGAACAATTGAAAATCAGAACGATTGAATAGAATTATAAGCAATTTAAAATCGAGCGCCGGAAGCGGAAACGCTACACTTGCTGATTCCGCGCATGCGTACTCATTTTTGCCTTCGTAAGTTTTAGTGAGTTGCGCTACTGGATATACTGTGTCACGGTCCCTACTTCTGTCATCCAAGTTCAATCGTTAACCCTTTAATTTTGTCCACTTTATGTACGTCTGTCATGGGGTATGCGAAAACGCAACGATTCTAAGAAAATTTTTAAAACCAAAGTCTCTTTCTATAAATAAACTATGCTGATTAGAGCAAGGACGCGATCTCTTTGATACTTGAGCATGAAATCCGTTAAGTAGCGGAAAATGTATCCGTCCACCCTAGCGAGTTACGTTGAACACGTTCCCTTATCCCCGTCAACCCTGTAACGCGAAGTTAACTTCATTTTTCTGTTTACCGATTCTGCCACCTGAACGACAGGGGTGAACAAGAATTAAGGCTAGCCACGGAAAAAATCGACTAGCCATCGATTCTTTTCAATTGTTTGATTTGATAAACAAACGATTTCTTTCTTATTTTCCAATTGTTCATTGAAACTCTGTTAAGGATCCATAGATTTCGTGAAAATATAACAAAACACTGTTGACGTTCATTTCGTTTTTTTAAATTTAATTTTTGTTAGAATAATTGTGAAGTGCAATAGTTTGTATTTAAAGATTGTTTAGGATATTGTTTTTTAATTCATTGTCTTCTTTGGTGACGATGATGTGATTTTCTCTAAACATATGATAATATAGAGCGCGCTTTTTATCCCTGACATTATTTTTCAACGTTCCAGCTATTTTTAAATACAAATTAGTTTCGACTGACTTACTTTCTCAATAGAATTTTAAAAACTAAAATCTGTTCTATTCATGGATGTAATAATCTTCTTTTATCGTTTAAATATTTTTCCGAGCTACAATATGCCTGAAGGGTGATTTTATGCTAAATTGATGATTCCTTGATTTCTATACTAGAAATTTTATTTCAATTAAAATATAATACAATTCTGATGAAATTAGGGAGGGTTTAAGTCATCATCTTACTCATTTCAAATTTGTTTAAAAAATACAAAACCTTGAACCTTGCAATTTTTGTTCATGTATAATAATGGGCTATACTTATAAATTTTTGTCTTGAAAATTATTTGTTGAATAATGTTAATCTTTTTTAAGTTTTAAATTAGAAGAATTAACAAGTAATTATATGAATTACTTAAAAAAACAGTCATAATTGTTATTTTCCGTACTGTAAAGAATCCTGAACCTCATTATTCACATAATAGTACCATTTCCATTAAAGAACAATATTGTCGAAGGAATCGCGTGGGAGTTTGACGTAATCCAGTTCTCGGTAAGTGCGGTATCGTGTAATCTAAACGGATCACGTCAAGCGACGGTACTCGGTGCTATAATGGCAAAACTCACCCGACGTATGCAACAGGCGAACAACGACATATCGCCTGCTCCAAAGTGCTTCGTCACAGCTGGCGCGATCGGTTCCGACAAAGTGCAGAGGAAGTCCTTTGATACGACGCCGGAAACGGAATACTAGAACGCGACGCGACGTCTTGTACTTTCATTCGCGCTTCCGTCAAACCGAAAGGTATATCCACGATTTTTTCATGTATGTTGAATTCGCAAACTGGTACTCGAATTTAATATATACAAATTTAATTACGTCCAGCCGGATCAGATAGCGCGTCCACTTCGGACCACTTGCTGAGCGGAACTTCAGTATGTAATGTGAAGTACACATGCGTGTTCAAAGCGTTTTACGCTTGCGCAGATTTTCTGTCACTGGGACAGTTGTAGTTGAAATAATTTTTAAAACAAGTCAAGGAAATTAAAATTTCTATTATGCATATTGTCAGTGCTACGTCAAAAGAAGTCTAAAAGGGGCTGCAGCTTTGGGCCACACTTCTTAAGGGGAACCCCCTTCTGAGCTTCCCATTCATTGTAAAAAATTTTCAAATTTTCAAATGCTCGCTAATTTGCAATTTCTGTTGTTGTGTGTCTTTTACAGGTTTTTTTCTTGAACGGTATGGACAATACCGTCAAGTACATATTAAACTCGAAATTTTACGAGTTACCGAATCGCGATTTTATTTCCCCTTTTTCTTTTTAATTTTGTAACCATGTTTATTTCTTACTTCTTAGGAGAGATCCACTTGAGAGATATCCCACTCTATGCTTTTAATCACCTTGATATTCTGTGTATGTAACCGCGTAAAGTTGTATGGTTATAATTTATTACCTTATTTCAATGAATTATTCCTTTCTTACTAATTTTGCATAAAAATCGTATTTCACATTCTTATTTTAAATACGTTAAATTTATTTAAAACACTGCAGTCTGCTTAGATTCTTATTTTATTAAATGTTTCTGAGATTCCAATTGGAGTTATGTTTTCTGTTCTCGGCTTTTACTATTTCAATTGTAATTGAAATTGTGATATTAATTATATTTTCTGTTTAGTATTTTATTGTTTGAGTTGTGATGGTAATTATATTTTCTATTTCAGCATTAAATTGTTGCAATTGTTATTTTTTTAATTGTTACTGAGATTATGATCTTAGTAATTATACGTTCTGTTTCATCATTTCATTGTTGAAATTGCTATTTTCTTAATTGTTACTGAGATTACGATCTTAATAATTATGCGTTCTGTTTCAGCATTTTATTGTTTAAATTGTTGTTGTATGATTTATTTTTAAGATCAGATTGTTAATTGTTTGTTTTCGATGTTGTATGATTTTAGGGTGGGTCACTCTCGTAGTCACCTCCACGTGGTGTGACCTGGTAATCGATATCGTCGTCTAAACATTTATCAAAAGATGGATTTTAGAAAACGATATCGAGCTAAGTACTACGATTCGGGAATATAAAGTAGTAATGTAAATTTTTGTGAGCAAACAAATTTAAATTTGCAATACATTCATTGAGTTCTTTATTTTTCTTAAATTACTATCACATGTTTTAAAATTAATTGTTTAACAGAATTGGAAACAATTGAAATATTCTGTTCTATTGTTTAAAATAGCAATAAACATTTTTAACTTTAATTCCTAGCACCGGAAGCGCTGTGAGTCAATGTCAATCGCAGTAGGTATAGTAGAATGTTACACAAATGGTTAATAGGTCGAAAAGAAAAGATAATATTGAATAATTTATCTATTTTATACCTACTCTGTAATAGAATATCCTATTAGTTTCAGAATGATACAAAATTTGCTTATTTTATAAAAAAAGCACTTTCCTTTTTCTAGTTCTCCCGCTTCCGGGTAGATGGTACTGATAGTATCATTTTTAAAGCGCGCATTCATACGAAAGGGTTCATACAATATGAAAGTACAACTTATCAAATTAATTTTTTCTCAGTAATATTCATTACTTTCTTACTGTGATGTAAAATATATATTAGTTATAATGCTTTAATTACAAAGAAAGAATGAATTCAATATGTCTGATGATCTAACTTATAAAAGAATGTTTCCTTCTTAGAAACTGATTTATAATTGTTAGTAGTATTCGCTGCGTATCCGAATGCATATTTCCACATATTTTCTTATGTAACAAGTGTCTACTGAATCATTTGCCACTTAAAATACCCACAGTAGAATAGGATTAAATAAAAAAAAAGTAGCTGCGATAAAAGATACCTTATTGCAAATAAAGTTCTATCGAAAAAATATCATTTATATTTACATATATTAAATTAGACGCGCGGAAGTGTTTTCTGCCGGTGAGGACCGTAACGAAAGGGTTAAGCATAGAGTACAACGAGTACGGTACACTCTTGCATTCTCGAAAATTTCTCAGGACACGCTCGTATTCAAAACCGGTTTCACAATTTACGTTCTGGAATATCGGTAAAACCAAACCGTGTACTTTATCACCGAGTATTCATAGATATGTATAATCGTACACTATAATAAATCAAAGGTGCCCTATGAATATGAATCACTACTACGAATCTATAGGAATTTGAAATCAATTTTCTTCAAATTGATTTTTGTAATTAAATTGTAAGTCCATTACTGTCTTAAGTTAACTTCTATTAATTCGCTTGGCGTGGCAGAAATTTTTCGAGGTTATCGGGTGAGGGATGGAAAGGTATGTGTAATGTACTCGTAAGCGAGCGTCAGGAACTGTTAGAATGGTGGAAAGAGAGGCAACGAGAAAAATACGTCGCTAAAACTCAGGTGAACGCGGCACGGTGAACGTACGGAACCCCCATTTTGGAGACAAGTAGTTAGTCCCTCTCTCTTTACAACGG